CTGTGATATGCAGATGATACAACTTTGCTTGCTGAAGATGAAGACAGAGAGCACAGCCTTTGGTATGGGTTGTACCTCAATGTAAAGAAAATAAAAATCCTCACAACTGGACCAATAAATAACATCATAATAAATGGAGAAAAGACTGTAGTTATCAAAAACTTCATTTTGCTTGGATGCACTATCAACATTCATGGAAACAACAGTCAAGAAATCAAATGATGTTTTGCGTTAGGCAAATCTGCTGCACAAGATTTCTTTAAAGTGTTCAAAGAAAAGCTGTCAGTTTGAGGACTAAGGTACACCTGACCCAAGCCATGGTATTTTCAATAGCTTCATATGAATGTGAAAGTTAGACAATGACTAAGAAAGTTTGTAGAAGAACTGATGTGTTTGAGCTGTGGTGTTGGATAAGAATATTAAAAGTACCATGAACTGCCAGAAGAACAATCAAATCAGTTGGAAGAAGAATAGCAAGAATGCTCCATTGAAGCCAGGATAGCGAGACTTGCCTCTAATACTTCAGACATATTCAGACATATCTCCAGTCCCTGGAGAAGGACATCGTGCTTGGAAAAATGGAGGGTCAGGGAAATGAGGAAGACCTCCAATGAGATGGATTGGTACAGTGGCTGCAGCAGTGGGTTCAAGTAAACGATTGTGAGGTTGATGCAGGACCAGGCAGTATTTTACTCTCTTGTGCATAGGGTTGCTATAAATTGGAACTGACCCAACTGCATCTAACAACAACAACAAAATTTTGGAGCCTATATTAGTACGTGTGTTGAGAATGAAGTAATAATTAAAAGAAAAGTAGGAGAAAAACAAAAATTAAAAAGATTTCCATCAGTTATTAATATTGTATCTAATAAGGGATATCACTGCTGATGTCAGATGGATCTTGACTGAAAGCAGAGAATACCGAAAAGTTTACCTATGCTTTATTGACTATGCAAAGGCTTTCAATTGTGTGGATCATGACAAGCTATGGACAACATTACCAAGTATGAGTCTTCCAGAACACTTAATTGTGCTCATGAGGAAACTGTACACAGACAAAGAGGCAGTTTTTCAAACCAAACATGGGAACACTGAATGGATTAAAATTAGTAAAGGTGTGTGACAGGGTTTCATTCTTTTGCCATAGTTATTCAACCTGTATGTTGAACAAATAACCCAAGAATCTGGGTTATATGAAGAAAAACATGGCATCAGAATTAGAGGAAGACACAATAACAACCTGCAATAGACAGATGATACAACCTTGCTTGCTGAAAGTGAACAGGACTTAAAATATCTATTGATGAAGATCAAAGACCACAGCCTTCGGTATGGATTGCATCATAATGTAAAGAAAACAAAAATCCACACCACTGGACCAACAAACAACATTTTTAGCAATGGAGAAAAGACTGACGTTGTCAAGGACTTCATTTTTCTCAGATTAACCATCAACACTGACAGAATCAGCAGTCAAGAAATCAAACAACCTATTGCATTAGGCAAATCTGCTGCACAAGACCTTTTTAAAGTGTTGAAGAGCAAAGATGTCAGCTTGAGTACTAAGGTACACCTGACCCAATAACCGCATATGCATGTGAAAGTTGGACAGTGAATAATAGAACAATTGATGCATTTGTGTTATGGTGTTGGGGGAGAATATTGAAAGAACCAGAGTGCTCCTTGGAGACCAGGATGGTCAAACTTTGTCTCTCATACTTCGGACATATTGTCGGGAGGGACCTGTCACTGAAGAGGGATATCATGTTTGGTAAGGTGGAGGGTCAGAGAAAAAGAGGAAGACCTCCAGCAAGATGGATTGGCAAAATGGCAGTATCAGTGGGCTCAAGTGTGACCACAATAGTGAGCTTGGCCCTGGACCAGGCAGTATTTTGTTCTGCTGTGCATAGAGTCACTATGAGTTGGTACCAACTCAATGACACCTAACAACAACAAATAATGTAATTCAATGTAGAAGATTTTATGATACAATTTTATTGTTAGTATTTGTATAACCTAAGAAATAGACATTTAAGCAATTTATAACTATATTTATCACATATTATTCTATGATTAAAACTGTTAATAAGAATTACTTAGGATTCTGTACATTCTAGTATGGGAGGAGGCCCATTGGGGAGGGGCTTGACACCACAAGTCACCACACTGGGTGACGCCAACCACTGTGAGGCCACGGAGTGAATCATCTCTCTTATTCACATAGATACAGGAAGACAGCTCAAATATTTACATGCAACTGGTATACATGAAGTCCCCATGAGCTCGTGAAACAAAAAGGATCCTAGATAAACATTTCACAAATGATACAAGTTACAAAGCTGATTGGTCCTGCAGTGCAGAATACTAGTGCACCATAGAAGAGTCTAGGGGCCTGCAGCAGCACTGTAGGATAAACACTGAACTGCTAACCGCAAGACAAGTAGTTCAAACCCACCAGATGTTCCCTGGAAATCCTTTCCAGGGTCACTATGAGTCAGATCTGACTCGATGACACTTAAAAAGAACAGAGGAGTTTGTGAAATGCCATGACAGATGGTGTCTGTTGTTTTGCTGACCCTGTGTGTTCCATAGTCTTCTATGCTGTGCTCACTTTTGACTACAATTTTTAACATCCTTGAATTATCCTATTTAGCTTTTTACATTTGATATTAGGCAAAATCTCACGTGAAGCAAAAGGGGCAGAAGAAGCAAGTGACTGCATAGTTATGTATATGGAATTGAACGTATTGTAGGAAGCCCTATCACACAAAACATGGCAGCTTCCCAATGGTGTAACCAGACAACAGTGATACCAGGAGAACACTTAGGCCTGTTCCCCAAACCCAACCTCTTAATACCACTCTACAGAATACATTTTAAGTTATTGCTTTTCTAAAATAGAGTAACTGGTGAGAATCTAAGATGGGATGGACCATGTTGCACTAAGACAAAATACAGATGCAAAAAATTTGTATCTGTGTCTGCAAGCATTCTTTGCACATTATCTCTACTTCCTCTAAAACTGTCACTATTTTTGAACTTTTAAAAATATATCCTACCATCAAATATTGCCCATTGATTTGCTAAAACTACCATATTTTTACTTCTATGTTTGCTTGTCTATCACTCCCTCCGCTTGGTGGTATTTGCATAAGCACCTACAGGTCAGTTTTTTATATGTTGCTATAAGGAAGAAAAATGAAAACAGCATAGGGCATTCACAAAAATAACTCAAGGCGTGTGTTATTTCTGTAAAATACAGTAACCATAGATGATCTCACTGTTCTGTCAACCTACCTGAGATAAGCTGTGTGTATCAGTAATTGGATTCTTCATGCTCTTGTTACTCAAAATTTCATTTTCATTCATTACAAATGTTCCCATACTGATTACTAGGTGTTGACAAACTGCACTGATGTGGCTCAGTCACTTTTAACTGAGTCTAATATAATGGAATATCAAGATCTGAATCTATTCATTTCTAATCTAATGTATCACATACTCATAGGGAAGTTGTTATGGATCTCTCAAAATGCATAGCAGTAGCTTTCCTGGTGTGGATAAAATAGAAGCAGATGTCTGTTTGTTTCTCCCAAATTTCTGCAACAGCAAAGTCTAATCTATCAACACCTTTGGAGGTAAATGGAAAGAGACCAGGAAATCCAGTTTCCTGCCATCTTACTACAGACATTAAGAGATTTCCTGGATCATATTTGCAAAGAACAGGCATCATTTTTTCTCTGTGTAAGCTAGTCTTGGTGTGGCACTGTGGGTTAATGCACCAGACTGCAAAGCCGTTTGAACTGCAAGATCAGCAGTTCAAACTCACTAGCTGCTCCTCAGAAATCCTACACAGGGTCATGATGGATCATAATCCACTCAACAGCACTTAACAACAACAAAGGTAGGATGCTGTGAACTGGCTGGGTATTGCCTGCCTGCCCAACTCTTCTGATGCTCAAGCCCTCCTAGCCCATGTGTGTTCCAACCTGTAATATACATGCCTGTGGGTTGGAATGCATGTTAGAATAAAATAGGCCATGACCATGCTGAAAAAGTGAATGTATGATTTTCGTTGTTCTTCAGTCACATTATAATTGACAAAATGATCATGACCATCAAAAAGTTGGGCCCCAGAGATGATAAATTAGCAGAGCTACAATTTGGAGGAGGTGAAAAAGAACCAAACATAATTGTGAATCAGGATTACCATGTTGGAAAAAAGAACATTACCAACTCTGAGTGTCTTATATACGTGAGAAATTTCTGGCATTCTGTTTTGGAACACAGAACAAGAAGTCTCAGGAATGTGTTCATGAAAAGGAAACCAGAAGACAGTCCCAGATGCCAGGACACTGATGAACAACTCATGGCTGCTCCTCCTTAGAAATCACTTGGCACCATTAGCTCTGGGCAGGTAGACAGATACGGACACATTTCCAGAAAGGAAAATGTAGGCATGTAATCAGTGACTAGCATGCAGGTACTCTGTGGCTAAAGGGTTCTCCTATCTTGCTCAAAAGGAATTGGTGTTGGGGGAAACAGTTCAGTTCGATTGTTGTTAAGTGCCACTGTGTAGGGTTTCCAAGGACCAGCTGGTGGGTTTGAACCACCAACCACATGGTTAGTGGTCCAGTGCCTATTTTCCAGCACCACACCAGGATTCCATATAAGAAAGCAAGATACTTCGTTCCAACCACTCTAAAGGTAGTTTCAATGTGACAAGAAGTATTTTTGCTTTTATCCTGCCTGTTCTTAGGATTGTGTCCAAGCGCTATTGGCTCTTCCCTATGGAACATCCAGTACAAGGCTGTGACCTGCAAGTTGCCTTAGTCTCTCTCGGGTCTCAGGGTTTCATCTGTAAAACTGAATTTGAAATGTTAATGTTTGATCTGGGAAAACAATGCTTTGCAGAGCATGTCTGATAAAATATGGAGAATGTCAGGGCATGTTTTCTATGGACAGATGACCGAGAACCCTATTCTTCCCTTTCTTCACAGAGCATTATCAGATGAGTGTGTTGGAATCTGCCCCGATTAGCTCCACTGTGGGGAGAGTGTTTGCCAAGGACTTGGATGAAGGAATCAATGCAGAAATGAAGTACACTATTGTGGACGGAGATGGTGCGGACTCCTTTGACATTCACACGGATCCCAATTTCCAAGTCGGCATCATAACTGTGAAGAAGGTAGTCCAACTCTTCTTTCCAACTCATTTTAACAGATTCTTTGAATGTATAGGAAATGCTGAAATGAACTATTGGACTGATTATATGGGCTGATTCAAATCTTAGGATCCTCTTTCTTATTATTAAAAAAAAAAAAAAAAAAAACAACCTCATTTGCTTACATTGAGAATACCAGTTGTGCCATCTTTTACAGAAAGGGTCCCAAGTTATGATGAAAATATATTATAAACATGTCATTTCTCCTAGCTGTTTGGCCACTTTTAAAAACTGTTGTGGCTTATTTCTCTAATAAGGCTAATGACTTGATAAATATTGGCACTTGAATAGCTCCCGTTTTGTTTTGTTTTGTTTTTTACTTTGTTGTCAAGTGCTGTTGAGTCAATTCTGATCCATAGCAACACTGTATAGGGTTTCCAAGGAGCAGCTGGTGAGCTTGAATCGCCAGCCTTGCAGTTCAAATGGCTCTGCAGTCTGGCACATTAACCCACAGCACCAAAAATATAGCAAATGTGTAAGTAACTTTCTTTAACTGCCACTTGAAGATCCATAAATGCACATCATGATCCGAAATAGCTACTGAGTGACTGCTGACCCTTCAGCCCCTGTGAATCCTATAAGGGCCAGGTCTTCTGAACACAAGCTAGCGAGTCCCTGTGTGACATAACGCACATATGGGGATACCAAAGCTGGATTGTTTTAATTGGAAGAAGACACATTAACAACCTACGATATGTAGATGATATAACCTTGAATGCTGAAAGTGAAGAGGACTTACAATACTTACTGATGAAGACAAAGACCATAGTGTTCGGTATTGGTTGCACCTCAATGTCAAGGAAACAAAAATCCTCACCAATGGGCCAATAAATAATATCCATATAAATGGAGAAATGATTGAAGTTGTCAAAGACTTCGTTTGCTCAGATCAACCATCTACACTCATGGAAGCAGCAGTTAAGAAATCAAACAATGTATTGCATTAGGCAAATCTATGACAAAAGACCTCCTTAAAGTGCTCAAGAACAAAGATGTCAAGTTAAGAACTAAACCATGGTATTTTCAATAGCCCCATATGCATGTGAAAGTGGGACAATGAATAAGGAAGACCATGAAAGAATTGATGCATTTGAGTTACAGTGTTGGAGGAGAATATTAGAAGTACCATGGAACACCAGAAGAACAAACAAATCTGTATTGGAAGAAGTACAGCCAGAGTGCTCCTTAGAAGCCATGATGGCCAGACTTCATCTCTCATACTTAGGACATATTGTCAGGAAGGACCAGTCCCTGGAGGAGGATATCATGCTTGGTAAAGTGGAGGGTCAGTGAAAAACAGGAATATCCACAGTGATATGGACTGACACAGTGGCAGCAGCGATGGACTCAAGGCTATCAAAGATTATAAGATTAACAGAACTGGGCAGTGTTTTCGTTCTGTTGTGCATAAGGTCACTATGGTCAGTACTGACTCAATGGTACCTAACAACAACAGCAAATCGTGTTACTGCTGAGCTATATTAGCTCAAAAATTCATTAATTTAATATTCCTTCTTTTCTATTTTGAACACATCTAATAGATCTTAAATGATTCAAAAAATATTTATCAAGTGTCAATATGTGCCAGCCATTGAAAATAAAATGCTCTACCATCAAGTCAATTCTGACTCATAGTGACCCTGTACAGGGTCTCCAAGACTGTAAATCTTTACAGGAGCAGAAAGCCTCATCTCTCTTCTGTGAAGCAGCGGGTGGGTTTGAACTGCCAACCTTGTAGTTATTAATCTAATGCTTATCCCACAATACCACCAGGGCCCCTTTGCTTGAAATATAGAGAGAAATAAAACAGTTAAATGTCTCTGCCCTCATGGATCTTACATTCTAGTGATGGAAAGACAAAACAAATCAAGAAAGTGGTGCATTAAAAGATGATACGGACTCTAAGGCAGAAGAAAATACACAAGATCAGGAGCTAAGGTGACTTCTGATTTCAGTTGAGTGGTTGGGACAGCCTCACAGAGAAGTGACATTTATTTATTCAAAGACTTACTGTAAATGCAGAGTGTCACTACATGGAGGTGGCCAGGTTGGCAATGCACAGTCCTCGGAGGTGTCTTGTAAATACCCTTTCTTTTCTTTTTCATTTATTTTAGATTTTATTTTATTATAGCTTGGGTAAATGTTTATAGAGCAAATTAGTTTTCCATTCAACAATTTATACACGTTTTGTTTTGTGACATTGGTAACATGCCTTCAAGGTAATGGTACTCTCTCCACTTGCTCTATGAGTTCCCTGTTTCCATTCATCCTTAATCCTTGTCCCTTCCTGTCTTCTGAGCCTTGTTTCTGGGTAAGCCTTTACATGACTTTTGCTGAGAACTGCACATGGCAGCCTGGAGCTGTACGAATGAGCCCAGGAGATATCGCAAAGAGTGTTCCAGACAATGGGAACATTCAGTGCCAAAGCCCTGAGGTAGGAACAAGCCTGGTGCATTTCAAGAACATTAAGGAAGCTGATAAAGTTAAGTGGAGCAGAAACTAGTAGAAAAGGTGAGAAAAGGAACAAGGCAGCACTTTACAGGTTGATGTAAGACATTGGTTTTTACTTTGAGTAAAGTGGGGAACCACTAAAGTCGTGAGTTTTTTTAACAGATAAGTAGCATGGCAAGACTTTCATTTTACAATAACTGTTTTGTAGGCTATGTTGAGAAAAAGCATATTGGGGCAAGGGTGGAAGCAGGGAAACCATCGGGAAGGCTATTCCAACCATGCAGGTAAGAAATGATTGTGCCTTTGCCATTGGGTGGTAGGAATGGAGGTAGTGAGAAATGGCAGGAGTCTGGATGTGTCTTGCAATATATCCTGTAGAGTCAGGAGGATCTCGTAAAGGACTGGATAGGGATATGGAAGAAAGACAGGAGGTAACAAAGCAACAAGAAAATTGGAGTCATCATCAACAGAAACAAGTCAAGCAGATGGTATGGTGGCAAATGGAAACACTACATTTTTAATATTTATTAGACACGCAAATGGTGATGTGTAATGGCAGTTGGATATAGGAGTCTGAAGAAGAGCTCTGGGCTAAATTTTGGGTGTAGTAATTTGGGTGTAATAAGCATAGATGCTTATTATGAATCTGAATGAAGTCCCTAGACAGTAATACACATAGGGAAGAGGGCAGTGAAATGAGCCTGGAGGCACCGTGACATTAAGAGGTCAAGGAGAAGAAAATCAACCGAGAAGGCAAGACCAGGGAGGTAAGAGAAAGCTCAAGAAAGGGTGGTGCCCTGGGAGCCGTGAACAGAGCGATTCCCTGCGATGAATACACCTCAAGGTCAAATACGAATCCTGAAAGTTGACCGTGTTGTTTTTGCTGTTAAGTGTCTTCAAGTCTGTTGCAACTCATTCCAAGTAGCAGCTGGTGAGTTCGAACTGCTGACTTGGTTGTTCAAACCTACCTTGCAGTCTAGTGCTTATCCTACAGTACCCCGCCAGGACTCTGAAAATTGACCATTGGCCCTAGGATAATGGAGGTCATCAATGACCTTGACAAAAACAACACAGCCAAAACTGAGAATGTAGTGCAAACTGATGAGTGTTTATAATAACTTTATGCTGTTTCATAGAACTGAATTCACACTGCTATAAAATGGAAAAAGAGAAGAGTTCACATGTTTGTCCGGAATTTATTTAAGGTGGAATCAAATATAGTGCAATGAAAGAAGAGTATATTTAGTATTCCACCAACTGGAAATCTTTACAACAGCACACAATCAGCCCAAAACCATGCAACATGCTGAGATTAAGTGCTGATTCATCAAATAAATCTATAAGCAATTTAAATATTGCAATTTCTTATTTTATTCACACTCTTTGAGAATTAATAACATTTTCTTGTTGTTGTTGTTAGGTGCCATCAAGTTGGTTCCAACTCATAGCAACCCTGTTACAGGGTTTCCAAGGAGCAGCTGGTGAATTTTAACCTTGTGGTTCAAACCGATCTTGCAGTCCAGTGCATTATAGTATACTGCCACACCAGGACTCCAATAACATTTGTAGGTTTATAAAAAGTGACTAAAAATAATGATGCCAATTTGGTGTATAACACAGAATTAAGAACACTTGTCCACTATGGGACATGCCTCACAAGTTAATGATTAATGGGACATCTCTGACCATGACTAGTAACGGTAATACGGTAAATACTGAAAGTTGTGGGAAATTACAGTTTCTCCCATGCAAAAATCCTAATAAAAAAATTAAGTAAACAGAAAAGGAACTTTTTAGATTACCAATATTTAAGTTTTATTTTTTATCTTACAATAATACATATTAGATTATTCTAAATACTTGATATAAGATAATCATATTAACTTAGATCAAATTATCATATCACTTATGCTATAAGACACTTCTTTTTTTCAATGATTATAACTTTGCATCTGAAAGAACCTGAAAATGTCTTTTCTCCAGCTCCATTACCTAGAGAGAAGACCATATCTCGTAAGATGGACACTTTTTCATTACTAAAATTATATACATATTTAATCAAAACATATATCAATTTGCCAAGGTTATTTTGAATTCTCTTCTCAATGTATGAGGTTCCAGGAAATAGAATTAAGGAAGCGGTCAGTAAATTGGGTGGGTGGAAAAGTCACATCTAATCAATATTTTAGAAGCTACTGATTACTCAATCTATACTTTTAGAATAATATTTACCCAGATGCCAATCCACACCCATCTTCCCAGTTGGTCACTAATAATGTTAAATAAAATTGAAACAAAAGTTCTGCTTTTAATTGATCTCCCTAAGGCCTATTATTTGTCTATAAAGCACATATGTTTTCAAAAATAGACATTAATGTGAATGGATAGAGCCAGGTCATCATAAAACCACATCGATTATTACCCAGCACCTTGGCTTGTTTTTTTGCTTTTAAGTAATCAGTTAGTTGATTTCCAGTCTCTTAACATAAACACTTGAAACATATAATTTTCAAAATGTTCTTTATTTGACCATGAAAAGGATGCTAGGCCAAATCCAATCTTCTGTCTTACATCACACAGTGAGCCCAATGAAGAGACTGCATTTCCTCTGAGACAAAGCAGACACTAAGAGCAAAAATTCCATGTTTCATCAAATCTAAGATGCCATGAATTGCTAACCCCACCTTTTTAATATTATGTTAGGATGAGCACTGGACAGCTAACCACAAAGTCAACAGTTTAAACCCACCTTTAGAAACCCTTAACACGGTTGTTAACAGTAGGAACCGACCCGACAGCACTTAACAATAACAACCATTTTTTAAAAGCAACTTGTCAATTTAAATGATACAGTGCTTTCTTATTTCTTAGTTTGCCATTTTTGAAAGCTCTTATAGACACGGTAGGGCCTGTTTGCTTCACTAATATTAGATTTACCCCCTGCTGTTCTTCCCATGCCATTCTGCCTAAATAACAACTTTTGTTTCAATGCCAAATCATAGTACAATATTTTTGAAGACATTTTAGAATTCAACACATGCAGACACCAACTAAATACAACAATACATGAACAGCTTTGACCAAGTCTGGCTTGCACAGGCAGTGACAATGACATCCAATCTCTTGTTGCCCTATAACAACTGTAAACTGTCATCCATTAGAGGAGCAACCCTATTTTCAAGATGTCAAAAAAAAACTATGCATCTTAGAATCATTGAACTATAATAACAGAATCTGTATCTATTACCACTCAAGCCATTACCTGCTAGTATTCACCTTGAAAAGCTTTCATACTATTCATTGTAACTAAGTCTTGTTCTGAAGTTTGGAGGGGGACCTACGCAAAAATAAATATTTGTAATTCCCATTAAATAAAAGCTATAGTTGATCCAATAGATCCGTTTTGGAAGAAGTGCAGCCAGAGTGCTCCTTAGAGGCCAAGATGACCAAACTTCATCTCTCATACTTTGGACATATTGTCAGGAGGGACCAGTCGCTGGAGAAGGATATCATGTTTGGTAAGGTGGAGGGTCAGAGGAAAAGAGGAAGACCCCCAACGAGATGGATTGGCCAAGTGGCAGCATCGATGGACTCAAGCATGGCAACAATAGTGAGGTTGGCCCAGTGTTTCGTTCTGCTGTGCATAAGGTCGCTATGGGTCGGTACCGACTCCATGGCACCTAACAACAACAACGTAGTTGAAGTCATCCTTGATAATATGATATTCAGCATATTCATGACAAAAGAAAAAGACTTGAGTGAATTACATTTCAGTGAAAAAAATTGTTGACATGTGACCTTTCAGCTTTAAGGTAATTGCTTTGTTATCCGCGGTAAGGACTTTATAGGACTTCGTTTCTTTTTTTCATTATTGAGAATGTTTTGAAGTAATTGTTGTATCAAGCATTTAAATATTTTGGTCAGCTTTTAAAAAATGAATTATTCTTTAAAAAAACAGCACTTACATTCACTTTCTTCCCTGAAGTGCCACATTTATTTTGAAAGAAAACATTCGGAAGGTAAAGATGGGACAAAAAGGAAACAGCCAACAAACCATATTTTATGATGGAGTTTTAGACAAAATTGAAGTTTTGGGGAAGAACCCTGGATTAGGCATTAAACAATCCAAACCAGTGTTCCAACTCAGATACTACATAGCCATGAAGCTTAGGCAAGTCTTCTGGGATGTTTGGGTTTCCATTTCTTCATTTGTAAAATGGGGTGTTGAATTAGGTTCTTAAATCATTTCTGATAAAACTTACATATCCAAAATTCTCATCTGTCACATTGCCTTGAAAAGGCTGATGATGTGCTCTGATGGTGGTGGTGGTTATGTGCCGTGGACTCACAGCGACCCTGAATAGGGTTTCTGAGGCTATAAATCTTTATGGATACATAAAGCCTCATCTTTCTCCTGAGGAACGGCTGGTAGTGTTGAACTGCGGACCTTGAGATCAGCAACCTGACTCGTAACCACTACACTACTAGAGCTACGATAGTTCTTTGGAAAGTATCCCTACTGCTTTTGACTTTCAGAAGAAACTGTCTTTAAGGAAGAAAACAGGCACAATTGACAATTCACTTCTAAATAACATGGCAAGGACATTTGCTGATACAGAAACAATTCAAAGAAAGAGAAGAATTTCCAGAGACAGAATATGAGATAAGGGAAGACATAGCTACATTTTGCCTTTAAGTACAGGGAAAATTACATGGATATTCTGGAACAGAAATGTGCCGTTGGTAAGTGACACTGAGAGGGTGCCTACTCATAAGGATCCTATGTACACAGAATGAAACATTGCCTGGTGCTCAGCCATCCTCAGAACCGTTGCTATCTTTGAAACCAATGCCACACCCATTGTGTCCATCTATCTCATTGAGTGTCCTCCTTCTCCAGGGACTGATCTTTGCTGATGTCATGTCTAGGGAAAAAGAGACAAAGTCCCACTATCCTCACGTCTAATGTGCATTCCAGCTATCCTTCTTTCTTCTAAGACAGATTTATACATTCTCCTGAAAGTCCATGGTATATTCTTCATGAACACCATAAATCAAGGGCATCAATTCTTCTTCAGTCTTCCTTATCCACTGTCCAGCTTTCACATGCATATGCGGTGACTGAAATACCATGGCTTGAGTCAGGTTAACTTAGTCTTCAAAGTGGTATCTTTGCTCTTCAACACTTTAAAGAGATCTTATGCAGCAGATTTGCCCAGTGAAATGTGTCATTTGATTCTTGACTGCTGCCTCCTTGGATGTGAACTATAAACCCAAGTAGACGGAAACCCTTGACAACTTCAATCTTTTCTCCATTTATGATGTTGCTTATTGGTCTAATTGTGAGGATTTTTGTTTTCTCATCACTGAGGTGTAATCAATACTGAAGGTTGTAGTCTTTGATCTTCATCAGTAAGTGCTTCAAATACTCTTCACTTTCAACAGGCAAGGTTATGTCACCTGCACATAGCAGGTTGTTAGTGAGTCTTCCTCCAATCCTGATGCTGCATTGTTCTTCATATAGTTTATCTTCTCAGATTATTTCCTCAGCATACAAGTTGAGTAAGTATGATGAAAGGATACAACCCTGATGCACACCTTACCCAATTCTAAACCACACAGTCTATCCTGGTTTTGTTCAAACAATTGCCTCATGGACTATGTACAGGTCTGCAGGAGCACAATTAAGTGTCCTAGAATTTTCATTTTTCATAACATTATCCATAATTTGTTGTGATCCATGCAGTCAAATGCTCTGCATAATCAATAAACTTAGGTAAACCTTCTTTCTGGTATTCTCTGCTTTCAGCCAAGACCTGGCTGACATCAGCAATGATCTCCCTCTTTCCATGTTCTGTCATGAATCTAGCTTGAATTTCTGGCCATTTCTTATAGACACATTCAAGCAATCGTGTTTTAATTATATTCATCATAATTTTACTTGCATGTGATATTAATGATATTGTTTGATAATTTCCACATTGCATTGTGTTGGGTCAACTTTCTTTGGGATGGGAATGAATATGGACCTCTTCCAGTCAGATAACCAGGTAGCTATCTTCCAAATGTCTTGGCATAGACAAACCAGTGCTTCCAGCATTGTATCCATTTGTTGAAACATCTCATTTGGTATTCCATCAATACCTAGAGCCTTGTTTTTGCCAATACCTTTCGTGCATCTAACTCCTTCCTCCAGTTTCATAGGTTTTGATCATATGTTTCATCCTTAAAGGATTGACCACCGACCAATTATTTTTGGTACAGTGTCTCTGTGTATTCATCATCCTTTGCCATTCAATATTTTGCCTATAGAATCCTTCAATATTTCAACTAAAAGATTGAATTATTTTCCTCAGTTCTTTCAGTTTGAGAAATGTTGAGCATGTTCATCCTTTTTGGTTTTCTAACTCCAGGTCTTTGCACATTTCGTTCTAACAGCTTCCTGTGTCTTTTCAAGTCACCCTTTGAAATCTTCTAACTCTTTTACACCATCTTTTCTGCCATTCTTTTTAGCTGCTCTACATTCAAGAACAAGTTTCAGAATCTCTTCTGACAACCATTCTGGCCTTTCTCTCCTGTCTTTTTAATGCCCTTTGGTTTTTCATGTATGATGTCGTTACCATCATCCCACAATTTATCTGGTCTTTTGTCATAATGTTCAATGTGTCAAGTCTCTTCTTCAAGTGGTCTCTAAATTCAGGTGGGATCATGATCGTGACATCTTTTCAAATGTTCAAGCATTTCTAAAGATAAAGACTCCAACTGCCACTTTGCTTGAAGTAACCAAGTTTTTTAACGACATAAAATTTTCAGTTTTAAAACTAGGACAGCCTAAGGGAAGCCAGGATATGGACTAAAGAGGCTCCTGCCATGTTGATTTAAAAATAGATACGTTGAAGCCAATAATGCCAAAGTGCGATGACTTTTTATACATCAAACTGGATTTCCTAACTAGCTCTCAAGCATCTAGTGTCTTCCTAAGGTTCCTTTTCCAAAGCATTGAAACTGACATTGAAACCAAAACTCTGGAACAAGAGAAAAATTGCCTTTGGTGTTTTCCCTTACCTCTTTCCTATCATGTTAATGAATTCAAAAATCTTCTGATCAGCCATCACTATTGCCCATCCACTAGAAGCTTCACATAGCTGCTGGTGGCTAATCCGTTTTGCTCTATTACTTTCCAGCCCCTGAGTTTTGAAAGCAAGAAAAGCTACACCTTAAAAGTGGAAGGCTCCAACCCTCACCTGGAGATGCGTTTTCTGAACCTGGGCCCATTTCAGGACACGACGACGGTACACATCAGCGTGGAAGACGTGGATGAGCCCCCCGTGTTTGAGCCTGGCTTTTATTTTGTGGAGGTACCTGAGGACGTGGCCATTGGAACCACCATACAGATCATTGCTGCCAAGGACCCAGATGTGACCAACAATTCAATCAGGTTTTTTTGCAGATTTCTCCTTTTCCTTGTATCTTCCCTTCTGTTATACATAAAGGAGAAAAGCCGCCACTTTTTCCCTTTCTGTCTTCTTTCTCTCTCCCATCTTTGCCTATGCGCCTTTTCCTTGGCACTGTTTCATAGCCTTGCCATGTTATTTAGCAATGTTCTTATGCCTACAACTCACTTTCAATTGGTTCATCAAAATGCACACACAAAACGCACACACACACTTTGGTTTTCTACAATAGTACTATTGACGTGTTGGGCTGGGAAATCCTTTGTCACAGGGTTGTCCTCTACAGTGCAGGACATTCTGCAGTATTCTCTGACTTCTACCCACTGAATATCAATAATACTCTCTGAGTTCTGACGAGTTAAAACATCCCCAGATAGTCCACGTGTCCTTGGAGGGGGTGTCATTGCATCAGTTCGAATTCATAATGACCCTATCTGGGGTTTCTGAGGCTGTGCATCTTTGTGGGAGCAGAAAACCTCATCCTTTTCCAGAGGAGCTGCTGGTGGACTCGAACTGCCAACCTTGGGGTTCACAGTCCAATGTTCATCCTACAGAGCCCCTGAGCTCCTAAACCACCACTCTAGATAATGCATAACCACACACATAAAGGTCAAAACATTCAAAATGATTGAATCTTGGTGTAAGGATAAGCACTGGGTTGTGAGCCACAAGATTAGTAGTTCGAGCTCACTAGCCGCTTCGCAGGAGAAAGATGAGGTTTTCTGCTCCTGTGAAGACATACAGCCTTGGAAACCCTATTCAGGGTCATCATGGGTTGGAACCAACTCAGTGGCGCTTACTTAATGACAATAGTGAGGAACCTAAAGTGGCAGGAACCAACCTCACCTGGAAATGTGTTGTGTCTTCTTTCAACTTTTATGAACCTTTGACTTTTTTTTTTTTCTTTTTTTTTTTTTTAATGGGGCAAAATAATTTGACCACACCACATGGAGAAGGTGATCTAGAAACTACTCCTGGTGTCAATGACTTTGACTCCAGGTAAACTGGCCAGAGGGGGTTTTGTATTGTGATCTCACATATATATTCCATATCTATCACTCCAAAGTATATTTTGAGCCTAAAGATTCCAGTCAAGATGTTTCCCCCCTCAATAAGGGAAGGAGAACTGTTTCTTGCAAGTAAGGCCATTTCCCATCAACCCTGGATCCGAAGTGTGAACAGCTGGTGAACAGGTTGACACTTCAACCTTCCAGAGCTACTGCCAAGCCTCTGAAGCTTGACACAAAAGATCAGGCTTCCAAGGCCATTTGAGATCATCTGTCACATTAATTGTTGAAAGCCACACAGTAAAATGAAGCCAGGACTTCAGTGCAGATCACACATTTTAAACACACCCCAATTTTTCAAATGTTTTTTTCTGTCAACTGGCTACTTCCCTCACCTGGTGCTGTTTTGCATTTAATGAAAATGTGCTTTTGCATTTTAACAAAGATGGTGCTCTCCAGGGAATTTCCATCCTACAGGGAAACCTGCTTTCTCTAACAGACTAGTAAACATTTTATGTTTCAGGCATTAAAATGGCTAAAATTATTTTGTGTGAATATGGATATTTGGTTCTTAGCAGACAACTAATCTTTCAATTATGAGTTTTCAATTATGAGTCAACTTTAAGCTTTGTCCATGTCAAATCAGACAGGAAGCAGCTCTAGTATTTCCAAACCCACCACAATAAATATGAAGCTGATTCTATTACAAATTTATATTTTTCAGAAACCAAGAAATATGTATATTTTCAGATCAATTCATTAATTTATTTATATCAGAGGATAAGCTAAGAGGAAAACTTTAGAGAGCAAACCTTTATGGGAGAAAACTGCTTGAAATAAAACGAGCGCACGCTTGAAAGCTATCAGAGCCCATTTCTAACATGTTCAGTGGCCACATGGACACATCTTCCTACAAGGGAATCACTGGAGTCACCAGCTGAACGACAAAACAAACAGAAGATACCGAACAGTCAGGAAATACACACACGTACTCTTCAGGACTTATCATCTCCACCTGAGGACATTTCTAAGCCTGAGAGGGAAAGATCAGGAGGTCTAGATCTACCCCTGACATGGAGCCAAATGCTGCACAGGATGGTCAGATAATCACCCCTAATGAGCCAGCCCCGCTGTTAACATCAGCAAGGCCCATACTGGATCCCAGCAGATCCTAGGCAGGAGGAATTCTGAGTAGGAACAGGCAGTGTCCACCGGGCATATGCTGGAGCAGGACTCTAGATTCTGAGAGATGAACTGGCAAGGACAAGACAGCAGCCACAAGATGGAGGGGAGATGACAAGGGCTCAGGCATGGGACACAAAGTAGAACTCCGGTTTCCAGAACTGGGGGCAATGTCATTCTGCGTTTCTGCAAAGAACAAGCCTTCGCATGGAAAAGTATAAGATCCCTGCTCCTTTGTACTGATCCCACAGCACCGGGAAATAGTCCTTGGACTACAAACACAACATGTTATAGATGAAGGCCCTTTGACAGGTGTTTTGTTTTTTTTTAAAGACTCTTGGTGGTGGTGGTAGTGGTGGTGATGTACCATGGAGTCCGTTCCAACTCATATCAACCCTGTATAGGGTTTCCAAGGCTGTAAATCTTTATAGGAGCAGAAAGCCTCATCTTTCTCCCATGGGAGAGCTGGTAGTTTTGAACTGTTGACGTTGAGGTTCGCAGCCTGACTAGACTCTTAGAAGTTTTAAATGTTCCTAGTAACATTATGGTGTTTTTAGGGTATAAATCATTTACTGGTATATCCAAACTAACTCTCTAGATTTAGGTATGTTGTTGTTAACTGTCCTAGAGTTGGTTCCGACTTAGAGCGACCCTGTATAGGGTTTCCAAGGAAGAGCTGATGGATTTGAACTGCCGACCTGATGGTGAGCAGTCCTGTGCTTATTCTACAGGACCACACCAGGACTCCCTAGACTTAGTTTTATATGCATGAAAAATACAGTGCTTAGATTCCCTACATTTTTAATAAATGCCCAAGGAATGTCTGGCAAGCAGGAACGAAGCCATTTGGCCACTGCACAGGGCTCTTCCTGGTGTGGAAACAGCTTGTCCTCCCATGTAGTCTCAGAGTATATGTGGAGATAGTGATGTTGCCTCCCAGTCGCTCCCAAATTCAGATAATGTCTCCAGCCAAACAAACAAGCAGGAAATCCAACCAGCATGTTAGTGTCCGCCTAAGGCAGTCTTGTATGAGTATGTTCTGCCGCTCTGCTCAGAGTAGGTGAGAAATTGTATTTATGGAAAGGAAAACAACCGACATAATTCACCAGGGGCTCCCACTCTCCTCATCTTCCATCTGTGGCTGCACATTTCATTTGGCCTGCCTCCTGAAACTGGACCCAATGTCCCATTCAGTGCAGTGGAAGGGGCTATTCTCCCTTCAATTCAAGCCTGGCTTCCCCTTGCCGAGTGCAGCACCTCTGCTTAGGGCCCGCTGTGCCCCCTCCCAGTGTCACCAGGCAGCACGGCCACAGGCTTTGCCACTTGGCTATTTCTAGGCTCCATTTCCCACACCATCTGTGACATTCATGATGGCGCTGGAGGGCCGAGTGGGGAGATCTGGCTCATCCTGGGCTGCCTCTCCCTCAGTCCTGTGCCTACACTTTGGAGAGCTGCCATCAGGTAGGAACAGCTTCCTGGGTTAAGGTCTCGTGGACCAAATGGCTGAGCTATCTGCGTGTGGGGGGCTAACTGAAATTAGAGGGTATCCGTGTGAAGCGAGCTAAGTGAAATAAGAGGTCATCAAAGCAAACTGATTTTTTTTTCCCCAAAGAGAAAAATTAACCTCATTTTAAAAATTATTTTTAATGTGAAAAATATGTAACAAAACACTTCAATCATCTTTATGTGTATAATTTGTACCCGGACTACATTCTTCATGATGTGTAAAAATTACCACTACACCTTTCTCAAGTTGTTCGTCACACTTAACAAAAAGTCTACACTGCTTAGCCATAACCCCCTACTGCCCCTCCCAGCCACTTCAAGTAGCCACTAGTGAACATTAATCTGTATGCATTTGCCTAGAGGAAATTCAATTCTTGACGTAGTCTGGAAATATAAAACCAAATCATTAATCATATCTAGAAAAAAATACAATAGTCCAGTTAATTTGAAGTGAACTTTGTGTGTGTTCTTTATTTAAAAAACAACTGTTTGTTATCATCATATAATTTACCTTCAAAAAGATACATAAAGTTTTCTTTTGTTCCTTAAGGAATCTAACATAAAGCATGTAGCAATCAGGCAGTGTGATGAGGTTGGTAGGAGCAGGAACCTCAAGCCATAGTTGGCTTCATTCTCAGATGTGCAACCTTGGGCAAGGGACTTAACCCTTCCATGCCTTGGTTTTTTTCACCTGTAAAATGCGATATTTAGAGTACCTACTTCATAGGGTGGCAATGAGACTAAATGAGTCAGGATTTGTAAATTATGTAGAGCAGTACTTGGCAGACAGTGTTCATGAAACAGGGTCAGAAGCAGAGAGAGGCATTCATTTGCTCCCTTAAATTTCCTAACGCTTACAGAGTCACAACTAAAGTGATTCCAATTTCCCTAACCCTTAGTAGTCACCTGTCTCTTTAATTAGTAACTCTCAGAACAGTCATGCTAAATTGTTGCAGAAATATACACATATCTATACATACATACGGAGCTCTGGTAGCGTAGTGGTTACGAATCGGGCTGCTAACCTCAGGGTCAGCAGTTCAAAACTACCAGCTGTTCCATGGGAGAAAGATGAGGCTTTCTGCTCCTGTCAAGATTTACAGCCTCAGAAACCCTGTACAGGATCGCTATGAGTCGGAACCGAATCCACGGCACATAACAACAACAACAACATACATACATACATAGGACTCTTGGTGTGGCACTGCAGGAGAACGTGTTGGACCGCAAAGTCAGTGGTTCAAACTCACCAGCCGCTCATTGAAGACCTATACAGTGTCACTATGAAT